GGATGGGCATGATTAGTCGATTAATCGATAATTGATCATTAAGAATTTCATCGATTACGTTAATTTTAATTGACAACCCAAATGTAGGTTACTGTGCGTAGCGTGACTAAACGGGTCTGTACATGTGTCTCTGCATCAGAAGGAGCGAGACACAAACAGTGGGTCAGTCTGCAACGTACCGAAGCACAAAGGTACATTTAACGATGAATTGTACAAGAAATCCTACACTTTCCGTTGCGTTCGGGACAAGTGTGAGTCCATGTGCACAGTGTACAAAGCAGCACAAATGTGTCGGTGTCCAGAGGGAAAAAGCTTTGCCAGGTGAGAGTCGCACAATGATGAGTCCCCACCTCCCACCCCCGTATTCCATTGAGTCATGTCTTTTAATCCAACAGAAGTTGAACCACATCAGCGACACAAGAGCTGTAGTTTTATCTTCGCTTAGTTTATGCAAATTAGAGATGTGGTTTTAAGTTTTGTTTCTGTGAGAGTTGCGCAAACTGAATTAAACACATTATAAGGTCAAACGGGCTGATGTGGCTCTAGAGCGGTCATAGTTTATATGTCGTAAAGTTGAATTTATTTATGCAGATTAGTAGTGCAGATAGTAATAATAATGATGATCATTTGAATATAAAAACGTTAATGATTTATCGATAATCGATCGTTAATTCTTCCGACGATCTATTAAGAAAATTTCATCGAATGCCCATCTCTAATTGCGACTGAGGTGTCAATGCTTCACGAGGCTCCATTCGCCCATCACTACTTCTTTGTTTTTTCCTGTTTTAATTAAGCAATTAGAATTCTACTTATCTACTATTTCTAACAGCGTAAACAAAAAAGCTATTTTGGCATATGAAAGTTGTATATCTATGAATACCTTTGTGCAGTGTAACAGTGGCACTGTTTCAGTTTTTTTTTTTTTTTCATTTATGTCTCCCCCTGGCATCCTATTTGTCATGTCATGTGTTCTGTATATTAACATATTAATAATATTTTTAAAAATGTAGTGTGTTGGCTACATGTTTAAAATGCCTAAACTTTTGTTGAACTATCAATTTGATTAAAACACAGTTAAAATCAGTATATTTAAGAATGTGCTGTCAGAGTAACTGTAAGTAAGTAATATAAATAAACTTAGGGGGCTATATTTCAAAAGCTGTATACTGTATTATGGTTTCAAAATAGCATTTAATATTGAATGATAAAACCATGCCGAAGCCACATGCTGAATCCAAGGACCAGTTACAGAGCTTACAGAGAGATGTGGCTCAGTGCAATCTGGGAGCACTTGTACTTTACTCAGAGCCAGGGGCAGACAGATTCAAAGCATGCTTGTTCACAAAATTGTATAACAGATAATGATTCTCAAAATACAAGAGGGCTACAAATAAAGTATTGTTCTGTTTCCAGGCCTAGACATTTATGCTGATTTGTTATCACTTAAAAGTGTACTGCTTCCACTTAAAGTTAGTAATATTTGCACAGTGAGAGTATAATCACAAGCTCATTTGTTAGAACCATTTTGAAATAAAATTGGCTCATGATTTTTTGTTACCTACCTTATTTGTCGAATGGGATTTTAATGCACACCTAAGACCATAAACATAACCATGACGATAAACAACAGAATAGATATCTGATATGAGGCATGGCATGAGCTTAAGCAGTGGTAGAACATAAAAAAGTAAAAGTAGTATAAAGTATAAACTTTAGGTGTCTGTATTTTACTTAAGTAGATTGGATAGTTTTTACTCTCACATTACATGTGGGAGCAGGTATCTGTACTTTCTACTTAACTACATTTTTGAACAGGACTGAAAAGTACAAGTATTTTTTTACTATAATTTGAGACCTGCTGAAAAGCCTGAGGGCCAGAATCAGGAAAAACTGTTTCTGTTGAATCGAATACTGTACGAATCTGTATCAGAACCACTACATTTGAATCTTTATTAGATACCAAAACCTGCACAAAATACTTTTTACTTTTGAAGAACATTTTTAAATGGGTACTTTAATACTTTTACTTTTTTGATGCGATACTTTTACTTGAGTATTTAGTATCTGTACTTTTACTTAAGTAACAAAATTGAGTACTTTTTCCACCACCTGACTTCAGCAACTCCCATTAAACACAACTGGTAGGAGCATGGAAGTTGGGCTCTAAGGGCTTTAGTTAAGATTAAAATGCATCTGGGTTATTGGCTAATATTCACTTGGGGACAGATACTCGCCAACAGTTAAGCCGTGGGATGCCAGGTGATGAGGGAATTTAAAAGAATGATTGGCCACAACAGTATATAACCATGAATATTTGGATGGTGGGGGCAAATTATGGGGGGTGGGGTATCTCAAGTGGCTCAGTACTCTACATGACATTTTAGTGCTGTTGCCATAGTGATTTGAACTGGTCTTGTGTAATGGTCCTTCATGAGGTAAAGGAGACAGCAAGGGCCCCAAAGAGCATGTTTATTTCATGTAGAACATTACATAGCCCTGCATTCATCACCTAAATTGGTGCTTTGATGGTTCTGATGATAATATAAATTTGTATTAGTTTATAATTTACAAAGTAAAAAAAATAGATGTAGGTATAAATGAGAGGCATTTGCAGAGTATCATTAAGGTTTATTGATGTTTAGTCTATGGTTCACAATTCAGTCATATGGAAACTGCACAGATTTATCATGCAAACAGAAATAAATAGACATACAAACATACAAAAAATTTGAAAGGAATCTTGATGTCCTATAAAGATAGCCATTAAAGTGCTTATGCAGAGACAGATTGCTTTGGTGACAGAATGGGATCATTGTGATGGTTAAAAGCAGACCACTGACCCTCAGGCTGTTGCGTAACATCAGTTCCCACCCCCCGCCACCTCCCAGTACAGCTTATCCTCTTCATCCTGCATCCATCCTGGTTTATATATAGGCACATCAGTAAATCTGAATATTTGACTGGCATTTCATAGATTTAGAAAGCAATGGATTACAGCCGTGCCATTCATGCTCTTATCATATATGAAAGATTTGAGAAGTCACCATTTTCACCATTACACCTTGGAAAACAGCTTTTCATATTCTACTGCATATATGGCACACTGTTCAGATCATCTTGAGAGGTCTAGGTTTTCACATACCCACACACTGACGTGTTTATGTTTGACTTGTTTAGGTAAGAATATTGTTGAAGGACTGTCTGTTTCTTTCAAATAAAGAGAGAAATAGGAACATTGTATCAAAAGAGAAAATGAAAAAAATGTTGTCAAATGTTTTTAGAGTGAAGTCATTTGTGGTGGTGAATCAGAACAGAAGAAGCCACAAGGGATTACAAAGACATATCTCAGGATATTTCCAGTTTCTTTGTACAGCTGCCAAGAAATATTCTTTCTGCCATAATCATAAATTGTATACTATGCCTCCACTACTACTGCTGGTTTGGTGTCTATGTGCTCAGTCAATGTTGGATTATGTTGACGTCAAGACATGGTTCACAGCACTCACTGGATGATGTGCTTATTGGGGCAGACTAGTGTACAGGACATAGGGAGGAGCTAATATATTGTCCCCATACCAACACTTCATAGGACTAAAACATTACAATTTGATTAAATTCTTTTTAGCATGAATTGAACGGTTTAGTGTTTTGAGCAGTGTTAGAGAAATTACTTTTAAAAAGTCGTGTTTGCTCGTTTTTCTTTAAAAAGGTAATCCCATACTTTACTTAGTTAGAAAGTAACTTTTTACGTTTCTTGTTACTTTGGTAGCTTGGTGGTAAACTCCATCTAGGCTAGGCCTAAATACCGGCAAGAGACCGATAGTCGACACCGTAAGGGAAAGTTGAAAAGAACTTTGAAGAGAGAGTTCAAGAAGAGAGGTAAACAATTCATTCAACTCGGCGGGCAAGGGATAACTGCTGGATGCGGGAGGATCTCCTCGAGGGACCTTTTCCCAGTTGTCGCCGTCAAGCGCACTTCCTCCGAGGCCGTGCAGTGCTCTAGGTTGGCCAGGAAAGGCTTGAAGTGAAGGTGGCGCGACACTCTGTGCGCCTTACACTGTTTTTACCCGAAAAAAGTAGTTACATCAGTGTAAGCCTTCACACCCAACACTGGTTTTGAGTAGTTTGGGTTGATATCAGCCAAATCTCTTAATCAGCCTAATCAGTTATGTGTATCTGATGAATCTACAGTGATTTTTGACTGGATAAGTAGGTCTAATACTTTCCTCTTGACTGAATAACAAGTACAGTTTTGTTATTGTATGTCATAGCAAACCAACTTCTACTGTTTCTTTTGGGGTTTTCAGTGTGATTTATGGCAAGATTGTTCTCAGTATTAGGAAGTCCTTGAAACTTGAGTTGTCTTTCTGGCCACAGTTTAGTTCTCATGTGACAGTCTGTCCTCATTAAAGCTCCTCTGTGTGCTGGATGGCTGACTGGGGAACACTTGATGAGATGATGTTATGTTCAGTTGTGCTGGAGAATGTAAACAGCAGGCCTTGGACTTGGCAAGTGCCCACAGCAGGTGCTCTGAGTGGGCTTCCATGCTGAGTCTTGCTTCCCCTTATATCATGTAATTCTTATTTCATCACAGGGTAATCTGTTAACTGGCACTGCACAGTCAAACCATCTGCACAAAGATCCTGAAGCTTTAAAACATCAAAATAATTGAAAATGAAAATACTATGAGTCTATGGGATGTAAGTGACAAAATAAGTCAATACTTGTACATTGTATGGTACACATTTCGCAGGAGGTACAGTTCATAGAATAAGATAAATATGTCGATAATTGGTTTTATTAATCATCTTCTGCCACATCCATATTCACCATAGAGAAACCCAGACAATGTCTGTTTGAAAGTAGCAGTTGTATTTTGTCTTTATTAGATTATCTTTATCATCATCTCATCACTTAATATTAGAAAAAATGAACACACAGGAAGTCAAAAATCATACAACCAAATCTTTATATATCCACCAACAAACTGTGGACAGCACAGATAAGATAGAGGTATCCAAACATGTCAAATAACAATATTTATTAATATCATTATTGTAACATTAATAACATGGAATGTAGTACGCTCCATTTGCTTCTTTTTCTCTTTTATTCTATTATGAATCATGTCAAATAAATAATGTATACATTTTATATTTCTATATCATTATATTCTCTATATGGACAGATGAATGAGCCACACCCAAACTTGCATCTTGTCACACAACATTGCAAATACAATTCTTGCTCCCTTAGAAAGCCCTGTTTAACACACACTCACCCTGAATGTGCTTTGTGCAAAATATGTAGGCTGCATCCACACTAATAACTTTAAAGCTGCACTGATTTTTGACAAATAAAAATCTTTCTATTAAGGCCAAGACTTGGTGCATTTCAAACCACTACAATGGGATACTCCACAGTGGATCTCGTTTTGTGAATTTCCCTTCACTATGCAGGACAATAAAGTGTATTAATGCGCACACAGCCATACCGTTTGATTAGATTCAGACACACAAAAAAGTATTTCTGCTGCATCCAGACCTTATCAGCAACAGGCATCAAACATTCTGACAACAACGAAACTGCTGCCTTATTGGCTTCATACATCCCAGAAATGCACAAATGAAAGAAATACACCAAGAACAGCTGCAAAGCTTTCCAACACCCAACCAGTCAGCTGCTTTTTAAAGTCTGGTCCTCCCTTTTGTGCCTTGGAAAGTCTCAGTCTTGGTTTGTGCTATGGTCCTCCAGTTCTGATATGATTGTTATTAGATTCTGGAGACCAAAAATGTAGCCACTATCTTGTCCCTCATGAACCACACTGTCTTCGCCGTAATGTTTACAAGTTGTGTGGGCAAAGTCTATCATCCTCACGTCTACATTGTGGCTAGTGCTGGAGGTTTCAGTAGACGCAAAGCTTAGCGCCCCGGCCTGCGCCTCTTTGTACTCCTCATTTTGAACATGCACCTCTTCGTCATCGTCCTCCTCCTCTGACAGTCTATCCTCAGTGCGTCTGTGCATCTGCTCCACGTGGGCTGCCCCATCGTAGATGATGAGCAGGGAGCTGGAGAAAAAGCGGTAGGATTCACAGTCTTCAAGAGTGGTCTTCATGTCACAGAGCCTCCGCAGCACAGGAGACAGCAGCTCATGCCTCAGACGCCGGCCACTGTAGAAGAACTGGAACAGGGCCTCTTTGAAGCTGCTCAGGGTAAGCTTGCGCCCATGGTATTTGTTCATAAACATTAGCTGACCAGTGTCAGGCTGGTATACCTGCAAACAGGGGCATATACAGTTAACCACTGAGGTGCACTGAGGATCTTAAAATATTGGGTGTCGCGTTTAGCCTACCTGCATACCACAGAGCCGGACCCCTATCAAGGCTGATGTACTTTGCTGACATTTGCGGATCTGCATAGCTTTCTTCTCCTCTGAAGCATCATCCCCGTGCTGCCTGGTGCCCATCTTCAAGTCCAACACACATGGAACTGTGTGCCTCCATGTTAGATTTTCTAACAAAATGAATTCTGAGAAACAGAGTCAAGGAAGAATGACAGAACCACACTGCATTCACACTGGTGTTTGTTTAACAGTTATTTTGACAAGTTTTCTTTTCCATAACAGAAAATTGCATGTCTTCTAAAGTGAAGTGATGATAAATTGGACATAATTGAATTCTATCTATTTCCATCTGTCTGACTTGAATTAATTCTACTCAGTTATAAAGACAAACACCGTCAAATGACAAAATAAAGTAGTAAAGAATACATGTACAAAGTGAAAGCTTTGACCCTGTGGTGAAAGGATACTGTACTGGTTGCGATGCTTGGCGTTCTCCTTCATCCTCTGCAGATGCTGCTGGTGGCACTTGAGGCTCCAGGGGTTGTGCTTTAGCTGTGGGGTCGCGTTAGTGTGGCTACACTCCAAACGATAGTGTAGCACCTCGGCCTGCTGAAGCCAGTCCCGCTCCACCTCCTCTTGTAGTTTATGGGCACTGAGGAAGACAAGGCAAACTACTATTTACTATAAGAAATATACTTTAATTATGACTCCTCAAAGAGTACTCCTTCACCATTGGTTGTGTGCTGAATGATTTAATCAACCAAATTTCCATTTTAACTGATCAAAATTAATTTAGTTTTTTCATGTCTTGCATTGAGATGGGCTGATGACTCATTTCATTTTTCCTGTAAGAGTTATATTTGTGTGTGTTTTCTGTGTATGTGTTCTACCCCCAACATGTCTTCAGTTTACTTCACTCACCCTGGGGACATAGAGATCACAAAAGATACTTCATAATACTTCATCTTCATATAGTGTACTATATATGTGCATGATTCTAGACATTACAAGGGTTTAGTGTGTGTGTGTGTGTTGTGTACAGGGTCAGTTACATAACTAAGACTGTGACCCATCCTCTGACAACCAAGCATCAGGATCAGTCTCTCGCAGTATTTAGAGTCTGTTTGCTTGAAGTTATAGGTTATATACAGATTTAGGCGTATGTGTAATCAATGTGTAGTCAACTCTTTCAAAGCATATATACGGTATTTGTTTATCAAACTAAGACAATCGACAGACACAACAGATTTTTGCTTGCTGTCTCTTACCTTTTTTCTTTATCTTTGCAAGTAGGACGGTGATCTTTGTAGTTTTCACTGTCCATAAGCAGCGAGGAAGCCATCTTTTTGCTCAGTTTAACTATTTTAGTCTTGGGCTCATTATCGGTCAAGGGGTCTTTGTTCTCTAGGTCGGTGGGGTCGCTGCGCAGGGGGTATGCAAAAAGACAGAGGTTCCCTTCATGATCCTCCTCAAAGCTCACAGACACCACACCTGAGGCACATACAAATCTCAAGTCACAACAGTGCAGCAGAGTGCAAATGAGACAAAACTATGGATTATTATTATTATTGTTGAAAAAGCTTTTTCCATCCCTTCAAAACAAACAAACACCCTAATATTGTTAAAGATGCATGATGGAACTTGGCACCACCAGACTCCATGGAGATGTTATTGTTTTGACTGGAATGTTCCACAGTTTGGCATTATCTGGCAATGTATCTATCTAGCATTTATTCAATTATGTGTTTTTGTGAAAAAACAAGTTTTCTTTAGGTGAGCAGGTTTGCTTCTATGCACATCGATAACTTGGTTGCATCAACAAGTGTCTCCATGAAGATTAAGGTATTCATTGCAATACTGTGGAACGTTTCAGGCAAAGGAATAACATCTTCATGTGTTAATAGTTTTCAACATACAAAATTCAATTTAGACACAAAAGACACAGAGCTTTAACAGTAAAGTATGTGTTTTATTACAAGCTTGGTTAATACGACATACCAAAATATTTGTAGCCTGTTTAATTATCACATAATTGTAAACAAAACTATAGAATTATCTACAGCATTATATATATATCACTTAAATAGAATGAAATGCAAAATAAAATGGCATAAGCATGTAATAAAATATGTTGATGTTTGTTTCTACAAGGTTTTAGTATTTCAGCTCAAGGGGAAGCTCTGTTTTGATGCAGACAACTTAGACATCTGTTTTAATGTAGACAACAAGTTGAGATGTGGGATATAAAACTTTAGTATCAATATTATTTTTAGAATAAACATTACAATTCACAAGTTTCTTCTACTATCATTGTCTAATACATTTATATCACTCTTACAAGTGACAAGATTTAGATAATCAAACTCACAACAACAATATCGTGATAAATAAAAATAACTTATTTTTCCTACTCTCATGATTTTGTCTCATGATTATATTGTAACCTGAATTATTGAGTTTATAAATTATCAAAACACTTCTTGTGCCTGAGGAACAAATAAAACACATTTTAAAATATCTGTAAAATCCAAATGTATTTTTTAATGGATGGTGCTATTGAAATCATTATACAGGATCAGATAAAACCTTTTGACTTTAAAGACACTACAATGAGGTATATCCACTGTCACTTCTATTTGGTTGCAATTTGGGAGAAAAGCAATCCTACTAATGCATACATTTCCACAGGTGAATATTTATTGAGAATTGATTTTTTTTAATAGTGTGTGGGCGTGCTGTTGGCTGTTGGTGTTTTTGGAACCTCCAGTAAAAAGATGGACTGTGGGTAGTGTAGCTTCATCAGGCTTCTGCTTTGTCTCACCTTTTACTTGTGATAGAGAAACAAAGGAAATGTGCCTACTGTATATAATATTATATAACTTTGTCAGAGGACATGTGGTTTGGCAGAGGAGATTTGGGAAGATATAGATGCCACCTCAAGTATTTGCCCAAATGTTTCAGTTTTTTTGATGGGTGTGGTGTGTATGCAACTTCCACTATGTGCTCAAGGCAACATTCTTTAGATTTCAAATATATCCTCAATGTACGCATCCTGGTTGATTAAAAACAAAACAAAACAATACACATTTCTACAGTAAGCTCTCTTGTAGTAACATTTGCTACAACATGCTAGTTTAAATTCCAAAAGAGAACAGTAGTGTGAAATGTGAAGAAAAAGCAAAGGAACAGAGCAATCCAAAAAAAAAAAAAAAAAAAAAAAAGGTCTCATCTCTTTGCAAAGTCACACACAACCATCCGTTTCATAGAAACACACCAAGCACACAAACACCTAGAGCTTACCTCTGTACTGTGGGGTGAACCTCCTCATGGCAGCAGGCAGGCTTTTGTAAAACTGGTGCTCACGTGGAATGAGGGGCTTGCAAATGGTCTGGTCCCCAAATCGCAGCACACAGGAGTGACCCCCCACCTGGTGTACGAAGGGCTCAAGCATCACCCCTTTCTCCATGTAGCTCTGGGCCTGTAACTGCTGCTGATGTTGCTGCTTTTTCTTCTTCTCTGCCTCTATGGCCTCCAGAGCCTGAGCCTCCCCGGCCGGACTCATCCTCCTCTGGTCCGGACCACTGTGTCACGGGCATTAGTCTAACTAGCTGCACACGACCTGCCCCAGCAATGCAGACTCACCAAGCAGTTCTGTGCACCAAGATCTCTTGAAGTCTCTTCTGGTCAAAGTGATGGTAGTCTCCTTCATGTGCTGCTCAAAAACAAAACAGGAGGGAGGAAACAATAAAACAGCCTCAGTTTGGTTTATAATACAGCTTCCTAGTCCTATGATTCACTTGGTGGCAGTAGACAAAATGCATATTTGTGCAAAGGCATTGTTAGAATGCAGTCAGGTGCAAGTGAAACAGAAACAGGTCTGACTTGTGTCTATGCCGCAGTCTGGGGCTAAGTGACAGCACAGAGCTGGCTCTCCACTGGTAAAGCGCTCTCTAAACCACAAACTTAGCCCGCCCCCTTCACAAGCGACTGGCCAATCAGCAGCTGTAAAATCAGGTTGTTGGGTGGTAACCCTCAAAGGCAAATGAGCAAGCAAACAAAGACATAGAGAGAGAGAGTGGAGAGAGTGGAGAGAGAAAACCTCGCTCAGCTGCTTTTTCAACTGACTCTTACCAAAGCAAAGGCATCACAACATTATGAGAATTTTATTACTTATTTATTTGTAGTAAGAATGACAGATTTGTAGTTTATTTGTAGTTTATTACAGTAAGTGCACTTATATTCAAGTGCACAGCTGAAGGGCACAAAAGGAGTAGGTAGAAGTTATGTATTTATACTCCATATTTCAGGATTTAGTAGTTAGCTACTTTGCGTGCTATGTCCTCAGTATTTAAACATGATTTAGAATATAGAATATTTGTACATGTGACAACAGCAATACAAGACTAGTATATAGTAAATGATTCACAAAAGCACAGAAATATACAATGCAACAATATTCAGTTCAATTAACTTGCCAATTTCTCATGATCTGCATATTTTTAACATAAATAATTTGAGTGTTCTTTTAAATTCCTTGAACTTACTGCAGGCTTTTACACTTTTGTCTGAAGCATTCGCGAGGTCAACACCACACCTTGAAATACAAATTTTCTTCATAGTTGTACGGATACACTTTAAAAAAATAAATAAATCAATACTTCTCTCAATGTATACCCTTCTCTGTTTCTAAACAAAGACTGGATGTTCTTAGGTAACATGTTTTGTCTTGCCTTGTACATGTAGGGTGTTTAATTTGGCCAAGTTCTCAAATTTGAACAATTTGGAATTTATGAAATGCGAGTTGTATGTTCTCCGTAGCCAGTATTGTTTAGGATTCTTAATGCCTTTTTTCTGTAATTTGAACAATGGCTCTATATTACTCCTGTTAAACAAAACCCCAAAACTTCCACACCATAACTAATGTATTAAATAATGAGGAAACAATATATAATGGACAGAGATTTGTTGTCTTGAAGAATGGATTTACCTGTAATTGCAATGCTGCTGGACATTTTCCATAGAACATTTGCAATGTGTTGTGCCCAGCTGATTTTGTGGTCAACTATATATATATGTTGATATATATCTCAATTTCCCCATTGTCAATTTTGTGTTGTGTTTGGGTTTCTACATCACTTATTCCAAAAATACTGCAACTTGTTTCATTTTTGTGACATTTTGTGACAATTTGTATCAAACCAATATTATATAAACCTACATATATAATTACTGTGTCATCACCAATATTTTAATTTTTTTATTAGATGTAAAGTGTTCAGTGATGTAAAATTTATCATGTGTATATATATATAGAGAGAGACCTACCACCGTGGAAGGTGAGAAACACATTTATTTATATATATATATATATATATATATATATATATATATATATATATATATATATATATATATATATATATATGTGTGTGTGTATGTTATATTTATCATGTGTATATATGTTATTAAGGCAACATGCTTTGTAAAATACCTGTAAAAGTAACAAAACACATCAAATTCAGAAAATTCAATAAATCATCATCAATCAAACAGTCAAATAACATGGATTTAAACAAAGATGCAAAAATAATGTCCAGAAAATTGTTCAGTCAACAAGAACATCAACAACACTTTGTTTTCCAGTTGCTGAGGTATGAGGTAGTTACAGTAGTTGTTGTGAATGCTGGGTGTGTGATGAGGTTTGGTGCAATAATCACTGAGGAGGATTCTGTAGCTACAGGGGATACTATAAATCTGATCTTGCACTGTCCCAGCCCTTCGTGACACGGATTAAATCTCTGTTATTGCAAATACAAACAAGCTTGATCACCAAACATGGTTTGACAGACAGCAAATTGGCCAGTGTATTATGATGACTATACAACATCATCTGCCAATAGTTCAGGAAACTTATGCCCTTAACATGTTACAAGTTAATGTTATAATATGTTGATCGAATAGTGTACAAAATTCTGTGATTTCCTTAATTTGTTTCTGACATGTAAATATATTTTTACACACAAGTAAGAATTAAGAAGCCTTGTTTTAAGCTTGCTTTGTTGGCTATGTGTATGTTGCATAATGTGAATTTTGAGATATATTTCATACACACATATTTCTCATGTGTTTCCATGTGCATGCTCACAGTTGGCAGCTAGCTATGGATAAATGCATTGAACACTGTCTGAAGCCTCACTCTAATCTCTCTAATCCTGTCTCTTGGAACACTACAGGAAAAATAGGCCATGACAAACAAGTAAAAATAGCCTTGCTTGCACTAAACCTATACCTGCATAACTTGTAAGTACCCTATGCTGCACATGCTTTGATACAAGATGGTATCATGATATATCTATATCAAATCTAATAATCACCTTTGGGCAATGACTGAAAGGACAAGAGTTTCCCTCACAAGATGGCTGGGCACTCCCTTAGAAATAGGCTGAGGACCTCAGTCACAGGGAAGAAGCTCAGAGTAGAGCTGCTGATGCTGGAACAGATGTCTCCTGGACAACTCCCTTAGGAGGGCATATCCCTATGGAGTAGGCCCAGGGAAGATCCAGGACACACTGGAAGAACGATGTCCCTTGTTTGTCTTGGCCAAAGGGAAGTCTGCAAGTCCCTGCTTAGACTGCTGCTCCAGCGACCCGGCCCCGGATAAGTGTAAGAAAATGGATGGATGGAATTTTAGTCATGTTTTGGGCCAGTGTTACCATACCAGTCTGGACCATGACTTACTATGATAATTATAGCTAATGAAAAAAGAAGAAGCAAATTTAGGACACTATTGACTGGGATGTTATAGACATCAGGAAGCCTATATGCCCCACCGTATATACCCCCAGCAGGTGAAAGAAACAAGGTGAATGTCTCTAGCTGCTAAACTAACAAGGGGAACTGATGGATCTATTATAAAATCAATGTATTAAAGCACTGTGTAACTTTTTTTTGAGGTGTCACCATCTAAAAAAATGTTTTTCACTGAATTATTTCTCTATCTTTTAATTGCAAACACACATAAAGTATCATGCTGCAAACAAAAGAGGAAGACATAGTAAAATGGAACCGAAAAGAGTAATCTCGGTATAAATAGCGTGCGGTCTTTGGCAGAGCTTTCACCTGCTGCTGGGGCCTCTGTCAGACACAAACAAACATGCTGTCATCTTAAACTTTTAAACACAACATGAGAGAGGAAGGACAAATGAGCAGCTAGCATCAGTAGCTAAGACATCAAAGCACTCCCAGCCTAGTTAAGGAACAGGCCTGATTTTAATCTACTAATAACAAGGTTCATCAAGAAAGCAGATTGACTAATTGTTTTTCTTCACCACTACTGTGAATGGTAAGTGTAGGTCAAGGTTCTTTACTTTTATAATCTCTATGCGTTTGCATTTTGCAAGCCTGTATGTTCAAATATTTGGTATTACTATTCATGGGCTACAGCTTCCTATTATAGGTTTAAATTATTTAAATTGTTAATTTCTCTTGAAACAGTATAACATTTTTCATCATTGGGAATCCCATGGATAACTACAAAATAACTATGATGAAAGTAGTATAACCTGATAATGTTTTCTCCCATGGCAAGCTCTTATCCTACAGTAATTAGTGAAGTGTCTCAACAAAGTGACAGAGATCAGAGGACGGTTCCACTGCAGGTGAAGTAAATAGACAGGGAGTTGGATGTCTCATTTAACTGTGTGCCGGCACCTCTGGAGGGCTTAGCAGCACGTTTAGCTATGCCACGCATGTGGCCAACTCATCTGACACTATTAAGAGAAACCTCCTGGAGCCTGGCCTGTGAGGGAGGGGACAGAGGGCAATAATGAGGGGCTAGCATCTCTCCTTGTGTGGGCATTTGGATTAGGGCAAGAAGATGTTTACATAGGGAGAATTTGAAGGGCAAAGAGAGGACAGACTTAGCCAAGTATAGGTGAGGTATTTAGTATACAAATTAGGTATATATTCGGGCAGGTCGATACAATATATGGCACACAATACAGACAATATCTCAATATGCCTATACCAAAATAACTGTCACATTTCACATTAAATGTATCAATATTTGTAATCAGCGTCTGTCCTGTTTAAGGCATTTCCACATCAACTTTAACAGCCCCAATACAGACCCTATTCATAAAAGTTGAAGCATGACATTATCTGGAGTGTCCCATTGCCAGTGCTGAAATTCCAGTTATTGTCCAAAGTGGGATGAGCTGGATCTTTTTGTGACTGAGAAAGCCTGGATAGAAATCATCAAACCAGTCCATTAATTGTTGAACATCCAGGTCGGCAAAAGTTCAAACACATATGAGCTCGTAAATACTGTATCCTCATTAACTCCAGATGAGATGCCCAAACGATGCCTGACTCCAGACAGACAGGTAGGAGCTCTGGCTAAACTCAGTGGAAAAACACTGGGTGCACCTGTGTACTATAGGCTTGCGTTCCACACTGATCACCTCACCTCAGACCAACCCAGAAACAAGATCCTCGTAGGTCACCCAGCTCTGACTAAAAATACCTGAGACAAGCCATTCATTCCATCAAGGAGATCATTTTAACCAAGGCTGGCTCTATGTTTAATTTGCAAGTCTAATAAAGATCATAGCAAAGACAAAAATCCATTGGCTTCTGTTGGAAAGCACCAACTCGCTGCCTGCATATGTCAAGACTTCATGAGTCATCTATACATGTGTAGCTTTTCGTGTGACCTCTTTGGTGTGTTATTGCACATTGATGCAAATTTCATTAATCCAAGTTATTGTGATATTGTGAATATGATTGGAGAATTTATCTGCAGGTTAAAAATTTAAGAAAGAACTTTCTGATCATAATTTATCTATGAAATCAACATTAAATCATGACAAGTTTTAGACACAAAACTGTATACATTAAGTCAAGT